GGGAGAGGGGNGGGGGAGAGGGGNGGGGGAGAGGGGCGGGGTAGAGGGGCGGGGTAGAGGGGTGGGGAAGAGGGGTGGGGAAGAGGGGCGGGGGAGAGAGTCAAGGGGATGGGGGTGGGACGGGCTGGTCTAGAAAGGGGCGGGAAAGGGAAGCGGGTGCCTGGGCGGACTAGGCTAGGATGGGCCGGGGGCTGAGTGACATCTTATCGAGTGGGGTTAGGAGGGGAGGTGAAGAGGGAGAGAGGGAGGCTGGAGGTGGGGAGATCCGTAATGACGCGGGGAGCGGGGAAAAGGGAGGGGAGGAAGGAGGAGGGGGGAAAGGGAAGATGGGGGAAGGAGGAGGGGGGAAAGGGAAGATGGGGGAAGTGGAGCGGAGCAAGTGAGCAGAAGGTCTTCACGGGTTGCGGGGGTTTACATGGTGTCATTTGAAATAGAGGGAGAGGATGGTACACCACATAAAGGAAGGAAGGGGGGATCGGCTGGCCAGCGCAGGTTGGTGGTGGTGTGTGTGGGGGGGGAGAAAAGCCGGCGAAGTGGCTGACCGGGATATGGGTTCTGTGAACACAGCGTGACGGCAGGCGATGAAGCATGAGCTGCCGAAGGAGTTCCCTTAACCCAACCGAACACAACCGAACACAACCGAACACAACCGAACACAACCCAAACCCGCTCCTTCGCAGTCTTTCCTGCATGGTTACCGCACAATACGTAGCAACTCGTTTCACCCCTTTCCCCCACCTCCCTCTCTCCCTCCCCCCCACAGTTCCCGCCGCCACGCGCACGGTTAACTAGCTCCCGTTCGTCCCGCACACCATTCTTCAATATGCGCATTTTCGTATGTGACTTTCCCCCCCATACACACACGCACACGCACACGCGCCCATGTGTGTATGTATTGTGTGTACGTTACAGCATACCTGGAGCGAGGCAATGTACGACTTGATCAGAAAGATTACTCGCTGGCGATTGGGGACTACACGATGGCGCTACAGCTCCAAGGGAACCTCTTACAGGTGGGGCTTATGGGGCCAGTGGGGGTTTGGGGGTTTAGAGAGGTGGCCGCGATTGGCCGCTGGGTACGTGGGGCGGGGGGGGGGGTTAAGGAAGTGGGTGGGGTGTGAAATCTGGGCTGCGCTGGGCTGCGGGCCCGGCCGGCGGCGTGGCAGTGGCGGGGGGGTGGTGGTGGCAGTGGCGGAGGGCGGGTGGCGGGGGGGGGGGTTCTTAGTTAGCTACAGAATGGGGATCGGAATATCAGGGCGGTGGGGGAGGTGGGGTAAACGGGTGAGAGGCGGCCTTCCGGAGGCGGTCGGGGGGGGGGAAGTGGCATTGGCGGCGGAGTGGGAGAGCGAGGGCGAGTGGGACACGGAAAAGGGGGGGGGTAGATCATGTGTGCGGTATGCAAAACCGCCCGACAGGGCTGAGGGGACTTTGATGGGGGCTGAGGGTTGCCTATTATCCTATTACCCTACTACTATACCCAGCAGCAGCTGCGTCCTCCTGTGCCCTCCCACCCGCCCGCACATCCCCTAGCCGGGCGCAGGTGCCCGCTCCTCCACCTTTCCCTAGGTAGTCCGCATTCTTACAAGACATATCTGGGCTTGAGGGATCTTTCGTGATTCCT